AGTGCTGGGATTACATGCCCGGCACGAATAAAATCTTAAATAACTATATCTTGTGTACAGTTTTCATTTTTTTCTGCTTTGCATTATTTCATCATCCAGTATGTTGGTTTTGCTGTGGGAAGCAGAAGTTAGGACAAAGCTGGGCGAGGAAGTAGCCTACTGGGGAGAAGGGCTATGGAAGTCGTGGGGTGATAAGTGTGGCCGGGCACAGATAGGCACAGTTGCCAGAGGAATCCCACCTTGATCAGACCTGACCAGGCTGGGGTCGACCACACCACGCTCAGTCTTGCCTGCGCTCAGCCTGGGGAGAGCATGGTCTTCACCTGAGCGCGAATTCTGAAGCGCTGCATTAGAGGGAGTGAGGCGCTGCACCGGAGAGCTGAACAGAGGAGCTGCCACAGTCCACCCCTTGTGCCCTGCGGGTTTGTGTCTCCATGTTTTTTTGGTCGGGTTTCATGGGCCCCTCTCCCTGTGCGAAAACTTAGGAGAGGGGGTTAGTAGAATAATATCCAGCCTAATTGCTGCAGCTGTTTCAGGACGGTAGCCGGTGCTCGTTTCCTTCTTCTACGCTGAACCCCCCTGGCTCCCAGCTATGGCCTCTCACAGTGGCTTAACTGATGTTGGGATCCAAACCCTACTTTGATAAACATGGTAATTTCTCTTCCTGCCAGGAATTACCTGAAGGATCAGAGGCACACTTCTCAAATGCAGCATCATTAAAATCTGATCCTGAGCTTGGCATGGTAGCCCACAGGCCTATCATTCCAGATACACTGGAGGCTGAGGCAGGAGGATTGCCTGGGCAATTCAGCGAGACCCTGTCTCAAAAGAAAATTTGAAAAGTGCTGGTGGGCTGGGGATGTAGCTCAGTGGTAGAGGCCTCACCTAGCATGTGTGAGGCTCTGGGTTCAACCCGAATGCTGCATAAAATGGGGGTGGGATCTAATTCCATAGCCAAGCTCTTATCACCACAGGCTTCCTCCTTCTCACTGAAACTTTGAGATGCGGAGTTGCAGTCTCCTCTTCCCTTAGCAGGCGTGGCATGTTTGCCGGAAGATGTTGTAGTTTTCCCTAATTAGAATCTCACAGGAAGGAGATTCTGAGGGAGGAGGTGCTCGGCAGGGTCTCTGTCCAGGAGGGAAGCTGGCAGCCCTCTGAGGTCTGGAGACCCAGAGTAGACAGCCAGAAGTTTTGAGTCCCGTTTTATCTCTAGTCCTTGAGTCGGAGCTGCAGATTTTTCCACCCAGCCCCGACCCTGACTGCAGATGCTGCCTCCAGCAGCTCCACGGCCAGGACTTTAGTCTGAATATTTTTTGTTTTTTTCTTTTTCTGTCCACTGCTGTAGATAAAGGCCTCTTTGTAAACCTTCAGAGAGGCCCTCTGGCTTTCACGGTTCATTTTCAATGTTGGTTAACTGCTCTCAGCTCCTCATTATCTCCTGGCAGGGCTCAATGCAACTTAATAACAGGCAGCCAATTCCACGGTGCCTGTGTTCTTGCTCTCCCTCTGCTTAACACGCTCGCAACCTGAATTGTTGCCTCACAAGGGCATTTCCTACTTTATCATCAGTGAAAGATTCAGCAACTGCAGCCACCATCTCTTCCCAAAGACTATCTGTACCCCACGCCATCCAAGGTATTTTTTGTTTTGTCTCATTTTAGTTTTAGAGCCAGGCTCTCGCTACGTTGCCCAGGCTGACCCTGAACTCCTGGCCTCAAGAGATCTTCCTGCCTCAGCCTTGCAAAGCTGGAACTAGACTACAGGTATGGCCAACCAGGCAGTGAGGATTGCATTTCTCCTTTCCCATCGCTTGCAGGCCACTCCTGGAACCAACAGTTCAAGTGGTCTGGAAGTAGAGGCTGAGACAAAGTTAGACGGGCAGGAAGGCCCGTGAAGGACAGGGAAACGGGAATGGGCAGAGAAAGCCCATGCAGGGTGATGTCAGTGTAGACCCGCGAAAGGAGAAGACACAGAAGCAAAACTGGGCAAGCAGACCTCCAGCCATGATGCAGACTCTTTCCTAGTCGCACCTCCTGGGCGCTCCGGAGCCGAGTCCTTAGAGGAGGCGCAGCTGGTGGAGATGCCAGGCCCAGGCCCCGCTGCGCTGTCCTTAGCCAGCGGATCCCGAGGCTGGCAGCTCACCGCGCCCTGGCAGCCGAGGGCCAGGCTCTGTTTTCCAGGGAGCTGGGCTGCTGTATCAGGCGTTTGGATTTGTGCCCAGCACCTGTTCTGTGGCATCGCGCCCCCGTGTTGGGAGACGTGAATTCTGGAAAGACTCAGACGAGGAACCTAAGCAAAGCGGAAGTTAGTGGGGGCTCTGCTAAAACTGCAGCAGTGGACCAGGAGGGGAGCGGGGAAGCCTGGGGCTTGGGGAATGGGTGTGCAAGGTTTAGGCTGCCAAGCTTCTGTCTCCTTCCCCGCCAGAGCAAAGGAGCGAGACGGGAGGCGGCATCAGCTGTTGTTTGGGTGTGTGGAGGGGAGCTGGCTCCTCCTCAGAATGGCATTTTAAAACTCATAAAAAAGTACTGCAGAAGGAATTTATTCCTTCTCATTTCATTGGAATGGGAAGTATGTGACTTTTTGGATTTTTTTTTCCTTTTAAAAGGTATTTTTACTTTGAACACATTGGAATTCAGTTGCTCAGAGCATTAGAGGTGGGCAGCTCGGGCAAGGAAAGGGCTAGCGCGCCCTGCGGTGATTCTGGGAGCTTTGAGCTGAGAACCTCCTCTGATCACGCAGGAAAGAGTTGCTTGGAATGTCTATGTCCCAGTTACCCTGTTATGTCCCAGATATGGTTACATTTACTGACCTTCCCAGGTGATAATAAAAGGAGGCACTGGGAGACAGAACAGGACTGATTTCTTTTCCCTTGAGAAGCCCACAGGAAATAATAAGAAATCTGGAAGTACCTTTTTACTCTTGATCCTCCTGCCTCAGCCTCCCAAATGCTGGGATTACAGATGTGCACCACCACGCCTGGCATGGTGATTCTTAGTTCTGTTTCTGGCCCTGACTTTTCTAAATTTCATTTCAGTTGTTTGCTAGGCACCCTTTTTCCCTCCTGTGGATGGACCACATACTTCTTCAAGACGGCAAGTTCCAGGGCCAGGGATGTAGCTCAGTGGTACCAAGCCTGCCTGACAAGTCAAGGTCCTGAGTTCAAACCCCAGTACCAGAAAAATAAAAGATGTCAAGTTCAAAATTAATTTGTCATATATTCTTCCCCTTCTGGGTCCCAAAATCCCTCCTACTCACTCTCTCTCTCTCTCTCTCTCTTTCTTTCTGTGAGGCTGCCTCAGCCTACAGTTATCATTTTTAAATAGGAGATTGCTGAGACACCTACTTGGTGGTGCACGCCTCTAATCCCAGCACTTGGGAGGCTGAGGCAGAAGGATTGCTGAGACTTTGTGGCCAGCCTGGGCTACACAGTGAGAAGGTCATCCTGAATTACAGAGTGAGGCCATTTCTCAAAAAAACCTAAAAGAAAGATTTCACTAGAGTTGTTAGCAGTAGTGGTGAGTCTCGGAGAACTCAGGAAGGAGCTTTCTCAGCCTTATTTATTTGAGTCAGGGTCTTGCTTAGTTGCACTGACAAAGCTCCAATTTGTGATTCTCTTGTCTCAGTCCTGCAAGTGCTGGGCTTATAGGCCTGGGATACTAAACCAAGTCGAAATCTTTTTGTTTTTTGTTTTGTTTGTTTGTTTGGAGACACTGTCTTGCTAAATAGTCCAGGCTGGCCTTCAGCTCCCAGAAGACCTAGTGCCTCAGCCTCCTGAGAGCTAGGATTACAGGCATGTACCACCACGCCCAGTTCAAATTCATTTCTTTGGTGAACCTGCTACAATTTATGTGGAATTTTCTTATTTCCTTTCACTAAATAAAATCATCTTCTTTTCTTTGTACGGGTCATAGCTCAGACTGACCTTGAACTCACTATGTAGCCCAGGCTGGCCTTGAATTCAAGGTGATCCTCCTGCCCCAGCCTCCCAAATATTGGAATTACAGATGTGCACCACCACACCTGGCTTCACTGGCTAAAATATATATATATATATATTAATGTTATCTATTTCTTTCTTCTGGATATTATATTTGTTCTAATATTCTGCTTTACCATGTTTACAAACTAGTCAATTTTGTCAAAACTAAAATATTTTTGGGGGGCGGGTTTTGAGACAGGGTCTCACTATGTAACTGAGACTGACCTGGAACTCACTATGTAGCCCAGGCTGGTCTCAAACTCACAGTGATCCTCCTGCCTCAGCCTCCCCAGTGCTGGGATTACAGGCGTGCACTACCGCACCCGGCTTTTTTTGGTGTTTTTGAGACAGGGCCCACTATGCAGTCCAGGCTAGCCTTGAACTTGTGTTCAATCCTCCTGCCTCAACCTCCTGAGTGCTGGGATTACAGACAAATGCCACCACAACTGGCAAAAACTAAAACATTTCTTGAACTGGGGAAAAAGATCTTGGAGTAGTCACCTTTGTCACCAAGCCTAAGGTGACGATATCCCTTAGGCTGCTTCCTTCAGGAACAGATGATAACGCAGTGACTCAGGTTCCAGGTTTTGTTTTGAAAGTTTGGTCCTCACACTGGCTGGATCGACCCAACTTTTTTTCTTGCTTTTTTTGAGACAGGGTCTCACTATGTAGTTGAGACTGACCTGGAACTCACTATGTAGCCCAGGCAGGCTACACACACAACGATCCTCCTGCCTCAGCCTCCCAAGTGCTTGGATTACATGCGTGCACCACCACGCCCGGTTTACCCAACTTTGTATTTATTATAAATACACTACATATCCTAATTCTTAAGGAGTTTACCTAGGAGAATTTATGTCTTCACTTTTCCAATTTCTGGGTCAATTCAACAATCCTACATTAAAAATATCTCCTTAAAAAAAAAACCCAAACAAACAAAAAAACACCCACCCCAGCGATCTCAGGAGGTAACTCGATCCCAGAAGGCCACTCCTCCCCTCCGTACTCCACCCTCTCGCACCTTTTCTTGCTGCTCTTCCCCTGGGCACGGTGGGTTCCTGGGCTTGGTCCCCGAAGGAAGCCGGCTCTGGAATGCAGCCTTCGCAGGTGGACTTTCCCCTCCAGGGCCCACACCTAGCTTGTGAAGGCCGGGGGAGGGAGGAAAAGCTCTCCAGCGAACGCACTGGCTGCATTGTTCTGATGCCTTTTTAATCCTGCGTATGCTCACTGCTCACAATAAGCATTTGTTGAACAAATAAGCGAGGGAACTATCCAGAGCCCAGCAACGTAAACCAAGTTTCTTTTTTATGTATCTGAACGGCTGACACCAGGAAGATAGCCTTAATGTTTCAGCGCAGCCTGTAGTTTGCAGAGCAGCCCAGACTACCCTTCTGGGAACGGGGACCGACATGCTATTCGTGGAAAGGGTGACTCTCAAGAAAGGTGGATCTGCAACCTGGGGGTGCTTCCTTTCCGTTTAGAATGGTCATTCCAGTGCTTGTAAATTCACATCCTTTGTTTTCATTAATTCATTCATTCAGCTAATATGCATCAGCATCTAATCAGTGTTGGCATTCAGCAGGAAGCAGGCAGGAGACCCTCGCCGAGGCAGAGCTCATCTTGAGTCGGGAGACGCAATGATTTCTAAAAATCACATGAATTAGAAGATGACGATTATTAGGAAAAAAAGTGTCAGGATGGAAAATAATTGTGGAGAACAGGAGATGGGGAAAGAATCCCAGACAAGCGTTCGGGCTGGGGAAAACAGACGCGAGAGGAGGCGACGGAGGCGCGGGGGCAGGTGAAGGGCAGCGCAGGAGATGCTCGAGCAGGCGTCTCCCGCGGACCCAGGTCGGGGGGCAGCCTCAGGCCACCAGACCCTGCGCCCCCA